TAGAAATGGATTTTCAGGTAGCTGAAATTTGCTCTCCTAGTTCTGAACTTTAAAAAATTTTTATTATAAATAATGGACCGTGGATAATATCTTTTTTCCTCAGGACTCTGTGTTGTGCCTAAGGTGCCACGTGGCTGTGGGTTCCTCTGTGTGTCTGGGTGGCTCTGTCTTTCCTGGCTGTGTGCCAGGCCCCATGTGGCGTCTGCCCCGCCTCCTGTCTTCACAGTTCTTTTTTTGAGCTGTTTGTAATGGTTATTATAAAACTGTTTCCTAATGAGAACATTATTAATGTAAACATTGTGTTTGCTTACTTTTTTTCATTGTTAATTAAAGTGATAGAAGTTCCTCACAAATACAGCTCTGTTTTAAAGAATTCTAGGGTAAAAGTGAAAGTAAGCTGGGCACGGTGGCAAGTAGCCCCAGCTTCTCGGGAGGCTGAGGCAGGAGGATGGCTCCAGCCCATGAGTTCGAGGCTATACTCCAGCCTAAATGACAGAGCCAGACCCTGTCTCTATAAAAAAAATTTAAAGAATCTTTTTTTTTTTTGGGTAGATACCCAGCTTCAGTGTATGTGGGTGGTGCTGTAACCACTGTGCTACGGGCACTGAGCCTGTTAATTTTTTTTATTGCTGCAAGTGTGATGGGAGTCTTTTTGATAAAATCTTTTCCCAGGCCAATGTCTTCAAGAGTTTTCCCCACACTTTCTTCTAGGATTTGTATCTTTTCCTGCCTTAAATTTAGATCTTTTATCCATCTTGAATCAGATTTTGTAAGTGGCGAAAGTAGGGGTCAAGTTTCAGTCTTTTACACGCGGTTATCCAGTTCTCCCAGTGTCATTTATTGAATAGGGATTCTCTGCCCCAGTGTATGCTTTTATTCATTGCAGCTCAATTTGCAACAGCCAAGATGTAGAAACAACTTACATCTCCATAAACCTAGGAAAGGATTGACAAACTGTATGTGTTATATGTATGCCATGGGATACTATTCAGCCGTAAAAAGGTGCTGACTTCATGTCTTTTGTATTAACCTGGATGGCGTTAGAACACATTCCTCTCAGTAACTATCACAAGAATGAAGAAGCAAGAGTCCTGGACGGTGCCTGTGGCTCAGTGGGTAGGGCGGTGGCCCCATATGCCAAGGGTGGCAGGTTCAAACCTGGCCCCGTCTGAACTGCAACAAAAAAATAGCTGGGCATTGCGGTGGGCGCTTGTAGTCCCAGCTACTCTGGAGGCTCAGGCAAGAGAATCACCTAAGCCCAGGAACTGGAGGTTACTATGAGCTATGTGATGCCACGGCACTTTACCGAGGGCAATAAAGTGAGACTCTGTCTCTACAAAAAAAAAAAAAAAGAAAGACGCAAGAACCCAATGTACTCAATACTAATATTAAGCCAGTAGACGATGTAATTAATACATACCCACATAAGAGAAAAACTGAAATCAATTTAAGGTGAGGGGATGAGGAGAGAGGGAGTTTGGGGCGCTCCCACTGAATGGACTAGGGGTATAGGGCACAACTTTTGGGTACAGGATATAACTACAAGAGGAACTGTACCTAACAAATTTAAATATTGTGATTTGGTTGTTTGTACCCTCACATTACACTGAAATTTTAAAAAAGGAGAAAACACCTATTCATCACTTAGGATTTAAAAAAATAATAAAGAAAAAAGTAGACGTAATTTTTCCAGTGTTTCTTCTCCAGCCACCCTGTATTAATGGAGAGCTCTCCAGAGAGATGGTGTGTGTGTGTGTGTACCTGTGTAGAGAAAGAGAGAGATTTCCCGTAAGGAGTTAGCGCACGTGATTGTGGGGACTGGCAAGTCCAAAACCTGGAGGCCCAGGGAAGAACTGCAGTTTGAATTTCAAGGCAGTCTTCTTTTCTTCTTTCAAGACCTCTTCTTACTAGAATGGAGGGGCGGACAGCCCGTTTTCTGTTTAAGGTCTTTGACCGAATAGATGAGCCCCACCCACGTTGTGGAAAGTCATCTGATTTACTCAAACTCTACTGATTTAAATGTCAGTCTTATCTAAAAATATACTGTCACACAAATAGCTAGAATAATGGTTGACCAGACATCTGGGTACTGTGGCCTACACAGGTGGACACATAAATTAATCATCAGGTACTTCTATTTTCCTTTCTTTCTGTTCTTACTATTTTGGGTGATCCTTCCAGAAGTTTTCTATGCCATTTCCAGTTGCATGTGTATTATGTGTGCGTGTGTGTGGTGAGAGCTTTAACCCACTAAGATGATGATCATTTTTCTCCGTTTTTTAATTTGTTAACATAATAAATGGGGCCAGGTGCCGTGGCTCATGCCTGTAATCCTAGCACTCTGGGATGCCGTGGCTGGCAGGTTGCTTGGATGGGCTCTATAGTCTGTTTCCCCGGCTGCTCAGGAGTTTGAGACCAGGCTGAGCAAGAGTGAGACCCCTGTCTCTACTAAAAATAGAAAAACTAGTTGGGCATTATGGCAGATGCCTGTCCCAGCGACTGGGGAAGCTGAGACCACACATATTAAGCCCAAGAGCTTGAGGTTGTTGTGAACTATGATGATGCCATGGCACTCTGCTTAGAGCAACAGAGTGAGACTCTCATCTCAAAAAATAAATAAATAAATAAAAATGATGTTATTAGATTCCAGAATGTTAACTCATCTTTTCTTCCTGTAGAGAATGGGGTTCTGCTTTGTTTGTTTTTGCTTTTTGAAGAAGACATCCCTAAATTTTTAAGCAGAATCATCTCAACTTATTCTTTTCTTCGAACTTTTCTTCTGTTTGTAGGCTTTGAAAATTAGGATTTTGTTTTAAAGGCCTGGAATTTCTAGTTGACCCCCAAATGGGGGAAATCCACTCATAGGTAGCGTACTTTTTTTCTTACTATGTTATTTTAGTTTCATGACTGCTTTTCTTATAATATAAGAAGTAAGTTATCCGTGGCTTTAGGGAGCCACCTGCAAGTAGCCTTCTGTCAGCTGAGCAGGTGGATAGTCTTTGCCTTTTTTTTCTGAGACAGAGTCTCACTATGTTGCCCTTGGTAGAGTACTGTGGCGTCACAGCTCACAGCAATCTCAAACTTTTGGGCTTAAGTGATTCTCTTGCCTTAGCCTCCCTGGTAGCTGGGACTACAGATGCCCGCCACAAAGCCCAGCTAGTCTTTGCCTTTTTTAAACCCTAGTTACGGTCATCGTAAGAGAGGGTGGTCAGGTGTTACCCACGGCCGTCCCTCCTTCCCCTTCCACTTCTCAGTGGGGGCACCAGGGAGTCTTCAACTAAAGAAGAGAATTTAAACATGGAAATGCCAGTCGTTTGGAACAGACCCCAGAAGGGAAGGATGAAGGTGAAGAAGAGTCTCACTATGTCACCCTTGGTAGAGTACTGTGGTATCACAGCTCACAGGTGCTCACCACAATGCCTGGCTATTTTTTTGTTGCATTTGTCATTGTTGTCTAGCTGGCCCGGGCTGGGTTTGAACCTGCCACCTGCAGTGCATGTGGCCGGCACTGCAACCACCGTGCTACAGACCCTGAGCCCGAAGGTGAAGATTTTTGATAGTAAAGTGAGTCTATGTGAAGACCAGAGTCACTGCTTCTGTGTCTGGTGTCATTCTGAAATCTTGAGTTTATATGTCTATTTATTTATTTATTTTTTAAAAATTTATTATTATTATTTTTTAAGGCGACAGAGTCTTTCTTTATCGCCCTCAGTAGAGAGCTGTGGTGTCACAGCTCACAGCAACCTCCAACTCCTGGGCTTAGGCAATTCTCTTGCCTCAGCCTCCCGAGTAGCTGGGACTACAGGAGCCTGCCACAAGGCCTGGCTATTTTTTTGTTGCAGTTTGGCTGGGGCTAGGTTTGAACCTACCACCCTCAGTATATGGGGCCGGCGCCCTTTCCACTGAGACACAGGTGCCACCCTAATTGTCTGTTTTTTATTTCATGATAGTCATCATTGCTGACCAAAGATTATGCCACTCTCCGTGGAGGCCAAGGCTGCTCTCAGCAGAGGCCCACTGTATCTTTTACCTGAGGTGACTGGAGGAGCATGAGAGAGACCGAGAGGAAGGGACTGTGTTTCCAGAACAGCCCTCCTCACCAGTCAGGGCCACTCAGGATGCCCCCTAAACCCAGAGTAAACCCCTACATCCTGGCCGCAGCCTCCCAGCTCTCTGCGGCTCCCTGGATGTGGGGTCCTCCTGCCCCCACTTACTTTGCTGCAAACCCACTGGCACCGGGCTGTTCCCTGGATGGTCCGGAACCTGTGCTGACTTGGGGACCTTTGCTTGAGCTGTTTGCTCTGCTGGGGGCACTTCAGAGCCTCTCCCTGTCACCTTACCTCCTGCACATTGTGGCCTCCATCACCTCCTCAGCCAGCCCTGACCATGCACATCCTGCCGCACTCACAGCCTCCCTTGCCCCGTGCGCTGCCTGACACACCCTGGTGCTTTTAAATGTGTGGGCTCCAGCCAGGCCCAGCGACCCACTGTTGGGATCCCAGAACTTTGGGAAGCCAAGGTGGGAGGATTGCTTGAGGCCAGGAATTTGAGACTAGCCTGAGCAATCCTGTAAGACCTCATTTCTACAAAAAATAAAACAATTAGCTGGGTGTAGTAGCTTGTGCCTGTGGTCCCAGATACTTGGGAAGCTGAGGCAGGAAGACGGCATGAGCCCAGGAGCTGGAGGTTGTAGTGAGCTGTGACTGTGCCTCTGGGTGACACAGCAAGATCTCATCTCTAAAGTGGAACACCTGTATGGGCTCTGTAGTCTTTTCCCCCGGATGCTCAACTGCCCACACCTGGGGCCCCGGGCAGTGCTCAGCAGACACCTGAGAGCACACCATGGCTTACGCTAGCCTGCCTGTGAGAGCTGGCACTCAGCACCCTGGCCGCCACTCGTCTGGCCACCTGGAGGGCAGTGGTTGCCCCTTGGGGGCCCCTGTGCTGATGGGCGATGCCCCTGATTTGCCCCACTAACCTCTTCCCTCTTTCTTTTCTAGACTGGCCTCATTGTTGCCTGTTACCATGGCTTTGTGGACACCGTGGTGGCCCTAGCAGAGTGTCCCCACGTTGACGTCAACTGGCAGGACAGCGAGGGGAACACGGCCCTCATCACAGCCTCCCAGGCAGGTAAGAGCTGGTTTTCCCCCTCCTGCCCTGGGCCCTGGCCAGAGCACCCCTTGATGCCCCAAGGGCGGGACTCATCCCAAACTGAGTCCTGCTTCTGAGAGGCCCGGGAAGGGCTGTTCCCTGTGGGCTGTTCACATTCTCCTGAAGCATTCAGGACAGAGTTTGCAGAATTCGTGTGGGCAACCAAGCTCTGATACCAGCCAAAGCTCTTGGCTGTGAAGCTGCTTCACCCGGAGCATCACAGCTGCAGCTCTTAAAGGCGGGGTTGGGGTGGGGGGGCTCGATGCAGGTGGACCACTGGTGGGCCAGGCACAGTTGTGTGGCTTCGTGATAGTTAACTATGGATGGAGACACACTTAGTAGGCGCCTTGCCCATTGCATATAGATTTGTTTCTTTTTAATCCCTAACGTGATCATGTATCTGTAGGTCTAAAGCAGGGGTCCTCAAACTTTTAAAACAGGGGACCAGTTCACTGTCCCTCAGACTGTTGGAGGGCTGGACTGTGGGCCCTGGGATGAATCGGCTGCTAAACAGGACAGGCAGTGGCAGCACAAACACCTGGCGGGCCAGATAAATGTCCTAGGCGGGGCACATGTGACCCATGGGTCATAGTTTGAGGATGCCTGGTCTAAAGAAATGCAGGGAGTAACTTTCTGAGTGCTGTTAGCATGTCAGTGTAATAAGGGGAGACTGAGTCAGGGAGAGCTTACCAGCAAGAGCTGGTAAACGTGTGTCCAGGCACGCAGCTGTCAGCTTGTACGGGTCACCCCGAGAGGCCAGCACTACTGTGAACATCTTTCAAGGGTATTGGGCTCCTCTGTTGTATTCACACATTTTCTGGAGACCATCGTGAATGCTGGGCTTGTCTCTTTGCTTGTAACTGGTCTTGACCAGGTTTACAACTGACCCCTTTCAGAATTCTTGGTCTGTAAGGAGTGTATCTATTTCATCACTCAGGTTCTCAGTTGTGAGCAAGGACACTGCCTCTGGCTGAGCCAGGAAGCATAGTTGTGAGTTAAGGGAAGGTGAGGCCGCACCAGGCTGCCGGGAGTCACTGAGAATCCCACACAGGCCTGGGAAGGCAGGGGGCGCCCCAGACCACCCCTGTGTTGATTCTGGTAGGGACGCATCACCTGCTGCTCCAGGGAGCAGCCTTGGTGTCCCTTCTTGTTCACCAGCTCCTGTGTCAAAGCCAGCCTGGGTGGATCTGACGGGGGGAGGCGGAGAGGTGGAAAAGCCAGTGTCTGGTGATGTCACCCCCATAGCAGGAGGTGGTCTGTGTACCCTGCTTCTCAATCACAATGCATATGGTAGAGAGCTCCCCAAACTTAGAAAGGGCTGGAACCTGGGCTTGTGGTCAGCAGGGGTCAGAGCAGGAAGCTGTGCCTTAGCAAGCCCTCGTCACACCTCCTGAGCAGCGAGAGAGCAAAGGACATTGTGAGGCACTCGGGGGGGCTGTGGGTTTGTCATTTGTCTCTCCCTGTGGGTCAGGTGCAGGGGAGCAGTGAAGGGCGGCTTTGTGGGTAATTCTGCAGGCTCTGGGGCACTGTCTGCTCTGATGGAGGGGTGTGCCCAGTGTCCTGGGAGGAGAGCACTCTGTCTGGATCTCAGAAGAGGGGCTTGAGGGGAATGCTGAAGAAGTCTGAGGCCGGCTCTTTTAGCCAGGGCATTGCAAGGCTGTGGGGCCAAGAGGGAGATGGGAAGTCTCAGGAACAGTGTGTCTGGGGGACGGCACACGCCTTGGCATGGTCGTAGGATGGTGTGTTTAGGATAGGGTGTCCCGCTTTTTAACAGTTTGTCCCGCATCCTGCGGCATTTTTAAAAAGTCCCGATTTTTGGAAAGAATGCACGAAGGGGCAGAACAGTAAAGGAATATACAGTTTTTGGCTGCCATGTGGCTATTTCGCCAGAATATGAGTTTTATATTATTTTTGTTAATTTTATAACATTAAACTGTAATAATAACAAATAATTGTTG